TAAAATGATGCAATAAAATGCTTGAAAATGTGTTGTCATGTTGAATTAACTCTTCTTTACTTAAATAAAAGTGTAAAATAGTGGTGCTTGTGATGTAAACAAACGCTCAGCTGACGAACCCGCTTTCGCAAACTTTTTTCTCAAAACCAGTTACAAATACAACGTCGCGTTCTTACGTGATCTTGTATTTTTGGTTCATGCAAGGTTTCAAGGTAATCGTAACCGGCCGTCTTCACATGCTTGAAAATCTCGCTTGCGTTCTGCTTTTTTCTCTCGCAAGCGTGATAGAGTTTTGTTGACTGGCATACTTTTTCATTTGTAAAATGTCGCCAAACAAGGAGGTTCACGCCTTGCAGGCTCTTAAAAGTTTGAGAAAATTAGAAAATCTGCACATAGAGATGTATACTATTTTCAAATGAAAAATGGCTGGCTCTTAATTTGTATTTGCCTCCAAAATAAACGATGTTGCTACTCTGAAGAATTCTGCGAAATAAGAACATAGCTGTCAAACAACAAAAATGACTGTTGAAAGCAAGCGAGAGCTCGCATACCGCTCGGTATGCGAGAAAAAGCATACTTCGTACTTTTTGCGGTCTACAAGTGCGGTTTCTCGCATGCGTCGTCATGCAAGCGAGATTTTCCAGCACGTGAAGACGGCCGGTAACAATCGGTGTCAGAAGTGGGATTGTTAAATAAATCCCAGAGGTAAACTACTGAAAATGGCAAAAATTCAGGATCTAAAAATCGAGGAACTCAAGCAGGAGTTGGAGAATCGAAATTTAGCAACCTCCGGAAGAAAAGTGGAATTACTATCACGGCTGCGAGAGGCTATGGAAAAGGAAGGTATCGACGTTGACAAATACGACTTCCATCGTGAGGACGACGCGACATCAACGAAGGACGAACAGAAGGATGAGGCTGCTTGTTCGTCGAAGGATGTGAAGCAGACATCCGGGAAGGTTGAAGAACAGCAAAAGGCTCCTAGTTCATCAACAGTTATGGACATGAACACATTATTAGCCGCCATGTCCCAGATGTCATCACAGCTGCCGTCCCAGCTGGAGGCACAGAAAACGCACATGTCATCGCAGCTGGAAGCACAAGATACACGCATGTCACAGATGTCATCACAGCTGTCGTCACAGATGCAAACACAGCTTGAAGCACAGAGGTCGTGGGTGTCGTCATTGGTGTCAGCGCAGCTGGATGAAAAGATCACACAGCTGCCGGAGAATTTAATCAGAGACAACGCGGAACTCAGAGAGAGACAGGATAAAATCGAAGCGCTTATTAAGGAAAAAGAGGACAAAGCTAAGGTGGATGAACTTGAAAATCGTCTCCGGGGTTTGCAGTTGAATCGTCCAACTAGTTCTACGAACGCTCCCAAGGTAAAGACTCCATCCTTTGATGGCACAATTCCTTTCCAGGTCTTCAAGCTCCAGTTCGAAAAAACGGCTGCAGCAAATCATTGGAGCATCGATGATAAATCCGCTGCACTATTCGTTGCATTGAAAGGACCTGCAGCAGAAACCTTGCAGACTATTACCGACTGTGAATATTTTTGAGGTGCTTGAAGAGAGTGGCCACCTGTTTAAAAAAATAAACTCTAATTACACTGTGCAACAGCCGAAACCAGCCCGGACTTTGTTAGCATTTTCTGAATGTATACCCATTAAGTAGTAAAACGCGCGATGGATTTGCAAAAGTTACCTCGTATTTTTATTTTATGGCCTACTAAAGTTTTCATATCTCGGCCTAAGGAGTTTCCAAAAAAGTCGTAAAAATAGTGTCTGAGCGAAATTAAAGGTTAAAATATATATTCTAAAGTTTCTTGGGAAATATTTTCGTAGAACATTTTAACCCATTAGCTCCAACTTAAAACGGTAATTTTTGACACTTACTTCAAGAAATCTCGCAAAAAGCAAATTTTGCAAAACGTTACTGGATTGATGTATTCTAAAAAATTTTTCTCCGGAAAATTTTACTAGGGGTCTTCTCAGGCAAAAGCTTCATGCTACCAACGTAAAAGCCTCTAAAAATTTAAAATAAAAAATCAACGAAGAAACTAGTTTTTTATAAAAAAATGTTTAAAATAGAGTTTGGAATAACAGTTCCTTCTTTGCACAGATTTTTTGTTTTTATGCATGAGGTCGAAAAACATGTATTTTTTTATTTGAATCCCTAAGACACACAGTGATGGCAAATTTAGTCAGAAAGAAGAAAGTTGACGAGTTGATTTTTTGCAAATAAAGATGAAATTCGACTTTTTCTGGAAAAATTCGATTTTATCCGAATTTTAGCAACACAAAGTTCGATTTCAAAAATACGCCATTTCGGAGGTAAAATTCGATTAAAATTCGAATATCGGAGCTTCGAATATCGAATTTACCCATCCCTAGTAAGCGCACACTATTGAGTGGCTCCATGAACGAAAAATACAAGATTACGTAAGAACGCGACGTTGTATTTGTAACTGGTTTTGAGAAAAAAGTTTGCGAAAGCGGGTTCGTCAGCTGAGCGTTTGTTTACATCACAAGCACCACTATTTTACACTTTTATTCAAGTAAAGAACAGTTAGTTCAAGACGACAACATATTTTAAAGCATTTTGTTGCATCATTTTACCTAAATTGTGCGTTTAAAGTGGCTGACAATTATTTTGGCTAATTTTGGTCTTCGTTGTTTTCTTTGCTTTGTTTACTTTTCGCTCGTTTTCCAGTGAAACAAGATGGCGTAGAACCCGCTAAAAAAATCTACTTTTTACACTCTCTTGTTCTTACGTGATCTTGTGTCTTTCGTTCATGGAGTTGCTCAGTTTTTACGCACGTAATGTGCTGTTTTTGCTTACGCGTAAAAGCACATTTAGCTCTAAATGCTACTCTAAATGGACATTTATCTGTCAAGGATAAACGCCGATCTTCGGTTTAAGTAATATATTTAAGCAAAGGTTACATATGAATCAGAGAAAAAAGAAAACTGATATATTCAGAAAAGAAATTTACTATTCAATTGACAACGATCGACTGTGCCTGCTAGATCACCTGCCTTTTACATATCCATACCAAATTCGACACTTAAATGCAACTCCATTTTTGCATTAAGAATCTAATTGCTAAAAGCAACCCTGTGATCTTCCAAAATTTCCACGATTCGAACATGGTTTAATAAGAAAAAGTGGCAACATTGCTTTTTCGAGTATACAGTTGTTAACTGCGTTTCAGTGATCGCCGATCGAGATTTCATTTAGTATATTACATTATTTGGATAAAGAAAAGTTAAGCAAATTCAACATCGATGTGATGCTGATAGAAATCGGGATCAATTTGTGATCAACTCTGTTTGGTTTGTTTCCTTATTAGGTGAGGAAATTTTAATTGACAGCGCCGACAAATGAATATATACACAGACAAATGTTCGGTTATGATTAAAACAAGTCAAGTTTTTGTATTGAATTTTGGTTTAAAATTTATTTTTTCAGTAGAGTTTTCAGCACATTATCTTCTGCGTGATTTGATCGTAATAGATACGGATCCGAATAAGCGACTGGAACACGGCTGTTTGTCAAAAGCATACGATTTCGAACTCGCCGTAAATGCACATTTTCTAAATGCGATAGCATGAACGCTCTTCGAAAACATATGTTCGAAAGCGCTAAATGTTGCATTTTAAATGCAGCAAAAACGCTGCATAAGTGCATGTTAACGGATATCGCATACGCATGCATACGCTTGCCTATGGAGTTTCAGCTTTAGTTAAATAAATGTGTAAAATAGTGGTGCCTGTGATGTAAACAAATGCTCAGCTGACGAACCCGCTTTTGCAAACTTTTTTCTCAAACAAATTTTTACAAATACATTATCGCGTCCTTGCGTGATCTTGTATTTTGGTTCATGCATCGTTTAATGCGCCTTTTGGCTATTTTGGGTCAATTTTCGTTGGGCCCACTAAAGTGCATAATTACTTTAAAAACTACTTTACATACAAGGTGCAACTGCTGTTGCAATCGCTTTTGGAAGTTCATGAGTTTGACAGACTTTTGAAAAGCTCTTGCACTTGCCACGTCTAAAGGAGCGATTTAACTTGGCAATGCAAGCGCTTTTTCTACGTATTTTTCTGTCAAAATGCGAAATCGAAAGTCTACTTTCCCGTGTAAGCAGCCAGAAAGTCTTGCAGAAATCTCTTTTAATTCACTAGCAATTTTCATTTTTGCTGCAAGTGCTATCAAACCAATCGAGTGTTGCCGTGTGACGCCTTTTTTTGACAAATTTGTATAAAATTATAAAAATCTCGAATAAAATATGAAAAATACGTGTAACTAATTTATTCTACCGGTATGGAGTATTTAAGAATTAATGTATTAAACATTTTATGACTGTTTTGTGGACATTTTAGCAGGTTTAGTTAATTTTTCAGGCCATCAACTTTGTTATAAGCGTAAAAGTTTTTGGTAACATAGTTGAAAGTGGACCTGTCTGCATTCATTGTCTGTAAACAGACAAAAAGTAGTAGTACATAGAAGGTGTAAAGAGTGTATCAGACGTGGAAATGTATTAAAAAAAAGCTGTCAAATTGAGAAATTTTAGAAAGCAGTTGCAGGGGCAGTCACACCTTGCATGTAAAGTATCTCTCGAAAGAGGTTTTTGTTTATTTCCGAAAGCCGTTTTGCAAATTGCTAGTGCAGCGCGAGCTAGTTGAAATATATTTCCGATATGCGCGCTTTGAGTTGCAGTCACACCTTGCAACCTTTATTTTCGAAACTGATTTCCGAAAAGTGACAGAAAGGTCTTTTCGGATGTTCACACATGGAAATAAAGTCAATTTGACAGTGAATTGCGTGGAAAAGTTGGAAATATTGCCAAGTCTATTTTGGAAATTTTGATTTTGACGGACTCTTGAAAAGGACTAGCACTTGCCTCGTCTAATAGCTACTTAAACGCTCCTTTATTATCGAAAGTAAAGATGAGATGGAAATTTCGATAAACGAAAGCTGCATCGCTTATATACTTGATATGTTTCTTGAATCACTATTTTTTGCAAAAAGTTGAATTGATTTTCACTATTTTTTCTTTCGACAATAGTTTCTTACGTGTACGTCCTATCAATACGTTATAATCTGATGTTTTTCATTATGAAAATCAAAACATTGATCACATCTTTACTACGCAGTCAGCTTGGCAACTGAACCTCTTGGGACTCGTGAAGGTACCAAGGGACCTCTTATCAACTCACAGTTCCGGTCAATTAGCCTCGTAATTCGGAAATTTTAATATATTAAAGAATTTCAATTGACACTCTATTTATAGATGGCAGAAAGGTTTCATTTAAAGTTATATATATACATAAGTTATAAAACATCGAAACAATTGAATTAAGCAAACTATAATTACAAGCATAATCTTGCTTTTGAAAGCTTCCTTTGCATTAATCGCAACAACTGCAATATTAAGATTATCATTGCTTTCAACAAATTACCTAAATACTATTACCAAGTGAAAAGAGTGGTATTTTGTATAACTAATCTCTTCTTATCCTCTTGAAGCTTCATGAGAAAATTCGTGAGAGTTTTGCTAAAACACCCATATGTCACCGTTCAGTAAAACCAACACCCATTTCAAAGGTTCCTTGCCAAAACTGCCATTTTAAGATTGTGACAATCTTTCTATTCGTCTTGATAAGATAATTAATATGGATCGATCTCCTGCGCCAATGTCGGAAATGATATCGGAAGGTTCAGTACTAAGTACCAAAATGGATACAATCGATGCCGAAAAAAATGTAAAAAAAGAAATCGAATTAATAATAGAGGATAGTGAAACAAACTCAACCGGCGATGATGAGGAATATTGCGATAGGGGGGCCGGTAATGAGGAATATTTCGATACGGGTTCTGAGAGCAGTTGCCATTTCGATTATGAGCCTGAAGTGAAGAGGCCATATCTGGATCTATCTAATATGCATGTAAAGAAAAGGCCGTGTATTAGGAGTGCGAGCTTTGCTTATGGCAAATATGTAATGAGACAATGTCCCATGTGCGATTATGAGTTCAATTCAGCGTATGGTTGGAAGCAACATATTAAATTCGTACACCATTTAGAGAAGTCTGAAGATTTGCAATTTAAATACAACGAAGTGGGAGCCAAGTGCAAGTTGTGCGATTACCAAATTCCAGCGCCAGAATATAACAAGTTACTAGAGCATCAAATTTCGCACATGCCATTCAGCCACTATTTAAAATGTAAATTATGTGAATGGAAAACTAAAACACATCCTAGCATGAATTTACATTTGCGCCAAGAGCATCCAGAAAAACTTCAGATGACAAATAAAAGTTTGGAATCAAGACGTTGCCCAAGTTGCCATCAAGAATTTTCCTCTCAATGGCATTTGCGCAAACATATGATACAAGAACATGAGCAGACTATTGAAGATAGGACTTGTTTTATTTGCTTGGACTGCGGTTTAGAGTTTTCAACTAATGTTAGTTTACGTAGCCATGTAAATGAAAAATTCGCTCATAAATCGGTCGATGAGTTGGGTTTTAAAGAAGTTCCAGCTGATGGAAATGAAGCAGCTAAGTTCAAATGTACTCAATGTCCATCGTCTTTTCGGAAAACTACGAAGAATCGGACATCGATTATGGTATCTTTAAGGGAACATTACATGCTGCATTTAGGAGAGCCTTCGGGCAAATGTGCCTACAAATGTAGATATTGCGATGAAAGTTTTCGGCGATTTGATAGTGTGCGCTTACATATTTGCGAAGAGCTGCATAATGCCTTACAAAATGGTGGTGGATTGACAAATACATGTAAGTTTTGTATCTAGCACTTCGAATAAGTTGAACACAATAATTGAATTAGAATTATGTTGTATACATATATGTATATAAATATGTATTGTTGTTGTATATTTCAGCACGACTGCTTCGTCGAAGGCGGAAGAAAGCAATAAGTAAGCAATCAACACGATATAAAACCAAGACACTTCTAATGATTAATTTTTTAGAAAGTGACCAGGACAAGGAATTTTTTGAAAAGACCAGGAGAAGGATTTACCATAAATGGATACAACATGTTTGCTTGAAATGTGGAAATATATTTTATAACCTGGCCCAATGCAGGCAGCATATGTTCCGTATGCATGGTATGAATAAACCGGAAGGACTCGAATTTAGAAAGCTTGAAAATCAAGGTGTATCCGATATATATGAATGTATTATATGCGAAGAGTTCACATGCGATTATGACTTGAATACAATGTTCGTGCACGCACGTATACATTCCGTATTTGAACCATTCCAATGTAAATTTTGCAAGATGTCCTTCGCTTATGAATCGGATATACGTAGACACGGATGCTTAGATGAGGAAAGTGTTCAGACAGTTACTGGTAAGTATAGAAAATTTATATTACCATACAAATTTTAACTGTTCATTTGCATTCCGCCCTATCTCTCAAAAGAATCAAAAGAGGTCTATATACCAAACATAGAGAGTTTTTGCCCTAAATGCAATCAAACATATACAAGACCCTATAGTCTAACTAGGCACATGAAAAAAGCCCATGGAATGAATAAACCTTACGGGCTCGGATTTGAAATGTGTGAACCGAATGATACCTCGGAAAAAATGTACTGTTGCAATGAGTGTAAAAATTTTACTGCGAAAGAAACAGATATAAAAGCTATGTTAGAGCATGCAAGACAACATTTTCCATTCGAGAGCTTCAGATGTACCCTATGTAACGAACGATTTAGATTGAAAGAGCATGCGAGTAAACATGAATGTTCAAATGAAGGCAAAGAAGTTGATGATAAGTACGAGGAAAATATATTAGCGAAAACACGTTTGAATAATATGGGACGTTTTTGTCCACAATGTGGCAAATCGTTTAAAAAGACCTATTTATGTAAAATTCATCTGATCAAAGTACATGGAATTGATAAACCTGATGGGCTTGCTTTTGAGAAAATAGATTTGCCTGTTGAAGAAGTTATTGAGGAAACATATCGTTGCATGGTTTGTCTAACCTATAAAACAAAACTGGATTTGAGTATTATGCTAGAGCATGCGAGAGAACATTTTCCATTTGAGAGTTTCTGGTGCAAGTTATGCAATGAACGTTTCAGATTAAAAGCGCAAGCAAAACAACACAAATGCCCGAATTACTTGCTTGAGGAAAATAACCACGGGGAGAACAATACGTCAAGAAGAAGATACCCTAAAAATTTTGATAAGTATATAAGGAAATTTTGTCCCGAATGCAATACTGAAGCGTCCTCTGTGAGCACTTGGCGTTGGCACATGAGTAGATATCACGAAATGGGCACTCTATCAGGCCTACAGATGAAGGAAACCACAGGTAATTTGGTAGAGTGTTTGGTTTGCCAAGTGCAGATGACGCATAGAAGACGACAGGAGCACAGATTCATACACCTTCCATTTAAGCCTTTCCAATGTAAATATTGCTCAGAATATTTTATTGAAGTTGAAAAAGCAAAATCTCATTGTAAAAAATGCGCACTAGTGCCATTAGAATTACCAGAGACTCACGAACAAAAAAAAGAGGAACAAACTTCAAAAAAGAAAGTACCTGCGAAACGCATGGAGAAAAATGTGAATTCTTCAGTTGAGCTAAAAGCGACCAAAAATGAATGCAACAAACGAAAAAATAAAAGACATATTGTTTCTAATGTACATGATCAAGAGGAATCAGAAAGTGGCTGTGAAAATGAAAGTGAAACCACTAATAAAGGTATATGTGTGGTACTTGCAGACGAGAAAGATTTCGCCAAATTCGTTAAAATTAGCTGCCCATTATGCCCGGACACCGCATTCGATTCCAACTTATATTTAACACGGCATTTCAAAGACACGCATGATTTTTTCCGAGATAACTTTACAATTAATCAAACAAACTCTGCGAATTGTAAGTCGTGCGATAAATTTTTCAATGTTTTATACAAAAAATCCATGATAAAACACTATTTGAGTGAAATAAGCGCTACATGCTTCTGCTGTCGGCTATGTGATAAGAAAACGTTATACCTTGAGTCAATGAGATCGCATCTTTTAGATGACCACGAAGGTGTAATTGCAGCACAAAAGCCCGATAGGAGCAACACTTTCGATTCAGCTGACCCGGCAGATCCTTTAAAAGTAACATCCGTAGATATTTCAAAAGTGTCAAGTACCACAATGGCAATACAGACCAACAAAACAACTGTATTCAATGAGTTCAACGTATATATTTCATATGCATGCCCGGAATGCAATGAACCATTCGAAACTTCCGAGCAATGGCATTTGCATATAAATGGTGAGCATAATTTCTTTGATCATGAACAGTTGAATATCGAAGCAACACCGGATGGTTTCAAACGCTGTAAGCAATGTGGCACTAATATTAGTGGAGGCATATTAGCTGAACAGCGTCATAAATTAACACACATGCAGTATAAATCGTTTATATGTACTTTGTGTCAGCATCGCTCCACCACACTAGGTGTGCTCACTCAACATTTTCGGCGAAGGCACTTTGCGAAGGGCTCTTTCAAATGCGGTCTTTGTACGCTTGTTCTAAATACTTCATGTGAAAGGATCTTACATATTAGAGGTGATCATGATCCCAGTGAATATACACCCGAATTATGTCGGGTTTGTTTCAGTCACTTCAGTTCAGTCAAACATATGCATATTCATATGGCTTGTCACGATCCCGATCGGATAAGTTTCCCGTGTGAATTTTGTGATCGCTCTTATTGGTATAAACGGGAATTAAATTTACATGTGCGTGCTAAACATCCCGAGCAAGAAGCTGGAGACAGTGGATATAAGTAAATATTTGAAAAAAAAAAAAAATATTTTTAAGGCGGATTCATCATTCTAGTTCTAAACTTTTTTCCTATGTGATTGTGGTTGGGTTTTTCTCCCAGAGAGAGAAACGCCACAGCCACATAGAAAAAAAGTTCTGAACTTAAACGATGAATCCGCCTTTAATCTCTTCGAAAAGATTTTAAGCGATAATTATAAACAATTTTTTTTTCTCAAATCGAAAAATATCCAAAAAAAAAGTACACCAATAGAAACTTTATAGAAACTTAATGTCCCTGCAAACCATTGGTTTAGAGTATTCTGAATTGTAAAGTAATTTTAAGGAATTCGTAAAGATCTCATCAGATTTTTCGCCGAATTTTCTAAAATGATATAAACTGTGCACACTTCGATTCTTTTACGAAATTTCGTAAGAAAATCGGTAAAGCAATGAAAATAACGCTGCTATGTGAAGAATTTCTTGTAATTACTATGAAAATTCGTTACAGAAATGAGATACTCCTAAAGATTTTGTCAGGATTTCGGGATCTTTGGTTTGCAGGGATTTGAAGAACAGATGATTACAAAAGGGAGGAAGTGTGAATTCCAAAACGTCAAAATACAAAGCATCTGTCTCTTTTAAACCGCACTAGAAGAAAAAGTGCAACTTGCGCAACCTAGTTTAAATCTAGCATCTAACCGCACATTTATTTGGCACTACAATTTAGTACGGCTTAGAAATAAAAGTGGACGATGCTTTGTATTTTGACGTTTTGGAGATCACCCGAAATAATCATTTGCTTACTTGCAAATATTTGGAGTTTTATTCACTTAAAAATCATCAAACATTTTTTTTATCCACAACGCCTATGCAACGGCTCTTAAATGCAAACAACTATAGGGGTATTCTCTGAGTCTTGCAAAGCCCTTGCACGGTGCACGGTTTGCAAAGCTGTCCCATACGAAAACCGGTTTTAACCGTGCAATCCGTGCAATCTGTGCACCATGCAAGGGCTTTGCAAAACTCAGAGAATACCCCTTATGTGTAAATTTGAATAAAATACAATGAAACAGTAGCATAAGTGATTAGATGTGAATTTGTATTTAATTTCATTGAGATAAATAAATACTAGATAAAACAACTTAACATTTTTTGTTCAATCACTGCGATTTTGGTGGAAAGATACTGTAGAAGTGCGCACACATAATTTTTTAAAGCTTTTTGTTTCAAACTACCTTTTTCATCACGTGGATTTTCAATGTACTGAACTCGGAGCATTTGGTATCAGGCAGTCAGAAGCAGAAGAACCCTAAGGCCGAGGTCACGCAATGAGCGGCGCCATACAGAAATGCCTCTCATCGCGTGGCCACTGCATTCAATAGAACTTCATAATCGCCCTCATCGCGAGAGCCGTGTCGAATGCAAGTCGTTTTTCGAGAGTCGAATCGTATCTTAAGTTTCACGCCATTGCCTAAAATTTCCACTCGACTAGTGTATTAAAGTGGGAAAACTTGGCAGCACTGTATAGTTTACGACGATTTTCGTCGTTTACTTATTTCCGCACGGCTGTATACAATGCCAATATTGTCGAGTCGTACAATTGAGCCTAATTTACGACTTAAGCTGAAATTAGTCGAGAACGCAGAACGTATACTTAAACGCAGTCTGTATACGCAGAATTTTGTCGATTACTGGAGCCCTCAGTGTTGCTTACTACACTGTTGCCACTCTTCAATGCCTTTTCATAAACTTACCCTTTCAACCACAATTTTTCGTGCTATAATAGATTGTAACTAAATATAAACTACTTAGTTTTCAACAAAAACCTTATTTAATAGTAAATTTCAAATATTTTAAACATATTTCGAATAGGAACTTATAACTTTTTTACCATCTGCAAAACTGACGAAGTGGCAACCATCTAAAGAAGGAGAAATCAGCTGACACGGAAAAATCTAAATTCCGCAGATTTCTGCGCTACGGGCTACAACTACAGAAAAATTCTGCGGTGTTGAGTTTTCATTTACATGGCGCTTTGGTAAGACAGATCGTGTCAGCTGACTCGGGTTTACGTACCGGTAGGTTTACGTTCTTGACTAATTTCAGCTTTACGCAATGAGGCTGATTGTTTCAATTTTAAGCCGCTCGCCGCTTTGCCGCTCATTGCGTGTCCCCGACCTAATGTAGTTTCGGTAGGAAAATTTCGTACGTTCGTGAATAATGGGTGAAATTCTAAATGTAAAAAATATAAAGCATCCGTCTCTTTTAATTCAAACCTCTGTCATTTGTGGCCCCGTACTGTTCTAGCCGAAAAATTAGCGCGGCTGTCTCAGTGACGCACATCACCGGTTCTCCGCAGTTCACCTGAGTAGCGGAGCCTCAATACGATCACTCTCCAGCATATCAATGACTCAGACAAACATACCACAGACACAACCATACCCCCACATACACGCCGCCACAACCCAATATCGTAGCAACAGCTCCTAGTTCCTCACACGGCGTGTTAGTCCAGGATATACCAAAATGTGACATCAGTTAAATGAAATACCTGCCTGGCTGGTTTCATTTCAGGGTATGTTGAGAATATACCAAAATGTTACATCAGTTAAATGCAATTCCTGCTTGGCTGGTTTCACTTCAGGGTATGTTCAGGACTGCACACGAACCGAGAATGGAAGAGCAATTTCATAGGCTCTTGTTGCAGTGCTGCTCATTCACAAACCGCTTCTGCGACGCCGCCCACTACCACCAAAAGGCAACACCACACGACAGTCGGGTCTACGTAACCGGAACGACCCAGATTTATATTTGGCCAAGGACTGTCACTCCGGCAACACTCCCCAAAAACTCTTTGGGAAATTTGTATGCTGCTACAACAACAACAACAACCACACCTTATTAACAACGCGCATTGCCACCAGCCTCCCAAGACACACGAAGATACTAAAATTTAACTGTAACGAATTTCAGAGCAAGATTGAGGAGACAACCGTCTCCGAGCGAGGTTATGGTGGTGGCTGTGCGTTCATCATACACCACCGTACAGTATCGTCTTAATGATGTAGACAATAACCCCAGGGATACTATTCTGGAATGTCAGGGTATTGCTATCCGGGCAGGCGATGAGCTAGAAATATTCAACATTTAGGGATCCCAACGCCATAAGCGGAAAAAGTGGGAGGAGCATCTGATGGTCGGTAAACAAAACCAAACGTCGACTGACCAGAAGGCTGCACAAACTGCCAACACCCAGTGCGCCTCTCAATTTCATTAGCGGTGAAATTCAGGTAGCCATCGGGAAGGGGAAAGCCTCTAAAGCCATTGGACCCGACAAAATATGTATGCTGATGCCGCGGGAGTAGGTTATCTCACCAAGGTGCATGGCCTCCCTCACCGTTCCGGACATTTGGAAAACGAGGAGATTGGTCCCATTGCTTAAACCCATTTCCTCGGTAGCGAAGACTATTTAGGCCTTGTTACTCCCGCACTATACGAACCACCTGACCCCAGCGAGGTAGCATGGATTCCGTAAAGTGCACCGCACGACGACAACACATAACGCCATAAACACTCAGATAACTCGTGGCCCAAACGAAACCGTCCCTGTGAGAGAACAATCCTAGTAGCGTTGAATCTGTCAAAGGCGTTTGAAACCATTTACCCACTCCACGCTGACAGAAGACATTGAAGCCTCCTCTCTCCCACAAAAGAACCCAAATGATGATCAGCGAATTATCTGAGTGGTCGACATTCGTCAACATTTTTTTGAGATAAAACCAGCAAACCAAGAAAAATGAAACAGGCGTTTCTACACGTTGGTGTCCTTTCCTCGCTTCTGTTTAATTACTATCATGGGTGCGTTCGAGCTACGTATTAATTACCGCAATATTGCAGCCTTGTTGCTTTCCAGATGACATGCTGCTGATGCTCAACAGAAATTTTTCTAAAATGCTGCAGAAATTGTGCAGTAAAATTTTTTATGTTGCTTTTGATTTCCCAATGATGATTAACTGATTGTCAAAATTTTGTTCCTCGAACGCATGATGTCGCTCAAATTTTTGCGTAGAACGTGATACTCTTTCATAAAAAGTAACACTACCGCATTTATTACAGCTCGAATACGCCTATCTCTTATGCTGACGGCTGCTCGATAATAGCATCCGGGAATGGAATTGATGACTTGTTTTCGAAAGTAAACGGTTATCTCTCCGAACTTTCTCGCTTCTTTACTGTTATGAGCCCAACCCTCTAATCTATGAAATTCCCGACAACCCTTTTTACCTTCTGGACGAAGGAGACTACAGCCGGAAATTCACGTCGATGGCAAACCAATTCCGACGGTTGATAACCCAAAAACATTCGAAGTTACCATCGATAGTTCGCTCTCCTTTTCGGCGCACACAACCGCAATTGTCAATGGAGTACAGAGCCGCAACATGAGTTGCGTTGCAGATGCTTCACGATATGCAGGTTTTAAAGGATTTACAGGAAAAGCTGTTTTCTCCATTAATAAACCTTATGGAAGGTGGTGACCTGGAACGGCTTCCTGTAAAAACCTGCAAATCGTGAAGCATCTGGAACGCAACTATTGTCCTTAAGTCGATAGCCAGCATCGCACCATCATAGCCCAACTTCGCTCTGGATACTTAATTAGGAACACGTAGCAATAATTTTGGACATGTAGCCTTTTAGGTAAGTACGATTTTTAGCACATGAAAAAATTGATGTATTAACAGTCTTTGCAATTTCATGTAGATCAAAAAGAAGGTATGCAGCAAAGGGAATTTTTGGACTCGCCATTGTAAAAAGCCCTGCAGAGTGCATATTTATATTTGTGGACGGAAGCCAGATTTTATTTGATGACTTTTGTACCATTTCCGAGAGGATGCATGAGTGTGGCTTCTTTAGAAACAAATATTCTACAAACATTCTATGTAAGTAAAACATAATTTAAGCTGAACTTTTAAATTTATAATAATTTGGGCACTGTTTTGTATTAGGTACGTAACAGCGCGGTAAGATGCCGCTTTATGATGATGCTTTAATGTATCCCTAGTATGCATTTAATATAAAAAAAACTGTTATATAAACCAATATTTTTAGTGCTGTATTGTTTTTAAAAACTTACAATTTTGCTTCCAACGCTTCAACTTCCTGCAAACTGCTGTCATAATAAAATACTTTGCGAGGTGTTCAAGTCATGGGAATATCGGAAAGGTTTGCTTCCGTAAGGCTATTTTCCTTATTATTCACACTTTCATCAGATATATTTGCATCAACAGTATCACTCGCAACAGCTATAAAAACTTAGCTAAAGTATAATGCAAAACTTTATATAAATGCAAATTGTTACCTGCAGTGGCAACGGCAGTCTCACTCTGCTCAA